GAGGTAATTATGGTTTAAAAATAAAAAGATAATGATTTACTTCGAAAAGCATTATCAGATAATGTCCTCAGAGATTGAGCAATAAAGGGAAATAACTCCACAAAATGTTATAATATGTTTTAAACGAGTAACCGTATAAAAGCTGAAACTTATGCAAAAAATATGGAATCCACAGATGTTCAACTAATTTGTTTTTTTTTTGTTTTTTTTTGCCAGAATTAGTACTGTGGGGTATCGAAAATATATATGATTATCTCAAATTATTGCATCTAACTTTTTTGAGATATGCTTCCCGAAGCCAGAATATTCAGTTACGAGGCAAAATAAATGGTTTGTATCATGTGATTTTTTTTTATAAAAATAAATGGTTTGTATCATGTGATTTTTTTTTTTTTTTGCCGTGAAGCATTAAAACATAAATGCTAGACGTAGACGAAGAGACAAGCGGCAAGAGAAATGTAGTTCTACAGAAGGATGCTGAGAATGCCATTGACTGAATATATGAGCAACGACGAAGTTTTAGGGAAATGATAACAAAAAGGAAACTTATACTTTGAATCAGAAAGAAACACTTGAAATTTCTCGGGCACATAATGAGGAAAGAGGGCTTGAAGGATTTTACACAGACAGGGCGTATTGGCGGCAGGGGAACCAGCGAATAACCCCGCCAAACGAGTTTGTATAAATGGTTAAAATAACAAGTATCAGGAGAGATAATAAAAAAAACCTTACTAAGAGTGTTTTTACAGTGATGACAAAGCCCAAGAGTCACTCGAGGTAGAGTATTACAGAGCAAGAGACACCCCCCTGTACAAAGCCCAAGAGTCACTCGAGGTAGAGTATTACAAAGAGGCACCACTCTGTATAAAGCCCGAGAGTCACTCGAGGTAGAGTATTACATAGCAAGAGGCACCACCCTGTACAAAGCCCAAGAGTCACTCGAAGTAGAGTATTACAGAGCAAGATGCACCACTCTGTACAAAGCCCAAGAGTCACTCGAGGTAGAGTATTACAGAGCAAGAGGCACCAACCTGTACAAAGTTCAAGAGTCACTCGAGGTAGAGTATTACAGAGTAAGAGGCGCCACCCTGTACAAAGCCCAAGAGTCACTCGAGGTAGAGTATTACAGAGTAAGAGGCACCACCCTGTACAAAGCCCAAGAGTCACTCGAGGTAGAGTATTACAGATTAAGAGGCACCAACCTGCACAAAGTCCAAGAGTCACTCGAGGTAGAGTATTACAGATTAAGAGGCACCATACAAGGTTATAATGCCACCAAGACGCAAGAGGTCACCGAAAGTGAAAGAGAAGAAAAAAAACTTTAAAAGAAACCGGAAATCAAACCCTAAGCCGGAAACAAGGGATAAACCTCTACTCCTGTTCAAAAAACCAGGGAGGTGTCCAAACCGAACGATAGATAAACCTATGTATTCCTATTGAGGAAAAAAATAAAAATAAATAGTAAAGAGATTTTCAGAGTTTAGGCGGAGCCGTTAGAAGTATAGAATTGAAGTAGTCTATTAGATTGGATAAATCTAACAATTGTGCTAAAAATTGAGTTAACTATTTCAACTGAACAGTTAATTTTCAATGAACTCGCCAACAACCTTAAGTGACCAAATTCCTTTCACTTTGTCATCTTAACTGAAGGCTACATTTTGGTGTCCGGGGTTGGTGGGTTGTTTACTGCCCCTTCCCCCGTATCAGGACAGAACTATTTTTCTTTTCTTTTTTTTACCTAGCATGAGCAGTAGAAAGTTATAAACTAAATAAGATAAAAACACAAAATTGAAAGATTTTAAATTTAAATCTGCATATCTACAAACTAGAACAATCTATCCGAGTGAGCCAAATAAAGGGTTCAGTTCGACATTCCTATCACCTGAAGAAGGCGGGAGCGTACAACAGCCGAAACGTTGTAATAAATATGGCGACAAAGATGAGGACAATAGTCCGAATAATGTAAATAATGTTCAACTGAACAGTTAATTTTCAGGATACCTAAAAAAAAATAAAAATAAAATAAATGAATAAAAAAATAAAGATCAGCAAGATGGGTTGGTTCAGTCATTGAGTTAACTATTTCAACTGAACAAGGACACATGGCACAGTGGATAAAGGCGTTAGTTAGATTCAGTGACAAGAGCCAAAGAGCGTAAGTTCAATACCCGGCTAAGGCAGTGTAGAACTTTCAGAGGGAAATTAACAGGAGATAACTAATAACTGACATCCATATATCAATATATCCCAGTGAGCCAAATAAAGGGTTCAGTTCGACATTCCAACCACCTGAAGAAGGCCGGGGCGTACAACAGCCGAAACGTTGTAATAAATATGGCGACAATGATGAGGACAATAGTCCGAATAATGTAAATAATGTTTAACTGAACAGTTAATTTTCGGGAAACAGTAAATTTCTCTGACCTCACAAAAGATGGAAATTTGTGAAGATCCATGAATGTCCACGTCCTGAGGTGGTACGACACATTGAAGATGAATTAAAAGAAATTAAATTAGACATTTCCCCGGTGTGGTAATTACATAGTTTAATCAGTTTGACGTGATAAACTTGAGTATCCTTATCCAATAAATAGCTATTTTTTTATTTATTCCAGCATTGAAAGAAAGACATAAAGATTAGTTTAGTGACAAAAACCAATTGGAAAGGCATCTCTTTCAGACAGTTTCAAATGATAATGAACAAGACCACGAATCTCTAATACTTTACTTCAAAATACCGGCTGCTTACAAATGGTCATAGAATAACGATCTGGTAGCTGATAAAAAATAACAAGATTTTGTTTGGTTTGTTTGTTTCTCGGCATATCAACTCCCTATGGGTCATTTAATGCTGCAATTTTTTTTTCGATTGTGAGCTTTGTTCATTTTTTTTCAATAAGATATTGCTGCTAATTTTTTTATTTTTGTACTATGAAAATGTATTGCTGGTAAATTTTTTTAAATGTATTTTTATATGTTCATGTTTTGACCCCAGTTTAGGAGTTCATTATATGCCCATAGCTGGGACCCTAACAGGTGCTACCACGCTGGGTCAGGGTGAACCTGGGAACAACAGCAATTAAGAGGTGGTTCCACGCTCTTCAAATCCTTTCGATCAAAGGTCTTGCAACCGGATGTTGTTTATCGTCATATCCAGGACGAAACAGGAAGAAGATGAAAGAAATACTAATTATAATAATTATTATTATCAATAATATTTTATTGAATGAGATAGCAACACAACAAGAATGTACCGGTGGGGTAGAAATATATGAAGCCTAATATATCCATCATGATACCCAGTCTAATAAGTGTATACCAGGCACATACCTCACAGCCAAATGTGCACGATTTCGTGACAGGTTTTTGATAAAAACAGCTCTTAATGTTGCGAGTCGGGAAATCCTCAGGTTAACTAACCCGGTACGCTTAGACGATCTCTGATGGAGGGTGTTCCCAAGTATCTAGGTTTGATTCCCAAGTTATCTTGGCTGACTCCTCCTTCAAACCTAAAAAAAAAAAACTCTCTACACCTGACCATGATGCTCTCCTGCCCATGAATAGAAATGTAGTGTGTATCACCCCGGAGGGGATATATGCCTAACTGAATAAAGTCAGGCAGCTGGTGATCAAATCTGTTACTGAACGAGATATTTTTATTGCAGTCCATTAACAAACAGAAAACATGTACCTACAATCAATTAAAATCAGAATCCGTGAGAGCCATATGTGTTACAACATCAAGGCAATTATTATTATTATTATTATTATTATTATTAGTAGTAGTAGTAGTAGTAGTATTTCCTTTGATTTCTGGCGTTTACACATTTCTTTCCGGGTTCCACTCAGGGACCTAAGGTTAGAAATGGCATCATGACACTTTCCACTGACAAAAAGACAATTATTACATAGATAAAGCCCTTCGTAAATTCGTTATTATTATTATTATTATTATTATTTGGTACTCTACAATGACGTTACTGACCTATCTAAACAAAGAACATTACCAAGTAACAAAAGGCATATCACGTTTAGATATTCACCACCAGCAAAACTAAAAAGGATATTACATGTAACTAGAGAAAAAAATAATGACATAGCCAAGCAGTTGACTTTCCACATTCCTGTATATAACAATTATGAAGGAAACACCCATTAATACAAGGAAAAGACGATAACAGTGAACCCGAGAAACCTATTTTCTTGAAAAAGTGTGTTTAAGAAAAATATCTTATGAATTTCAACGGACAGTAATGCTAATTATTCAGTCATTGAATACCGAATGTTTCCTGTATGGAACCAGCTTGGCTCACCATTACAATTACCATTATTTATCTAACTATACAGGGGGTTCCTCGACTTACATCGGGGAGCCGTTCCTACGGCGCGACATAACCTGATTTTCGACGTAGGTCGGAACACCTACATAAGCACCCACGAGTCTACCCATCGCTTGGGAGCCATAATAAAGGGCAAAAAGTTTCCCCCAAAACGACACAAACGAGATATATCGAATGTAGCACAATCCAATATGGCGGTGAAGAAACAACGCCGTCTTCCTCATATAGCGCCGCGTGACGGCGTATTGTATTATGGGAGATGGCGCCGTAACCATGAAACGCCGAATGTCGGGTTCGACGTAACCCGAGGACATTCTGAAAAGCCAAACAAAAATAATTATGCACTTACATCCATAAAGCAATATTTACGGTTTTTCAGTTAGGCCTGGAATCCGCTAATTTCTTGTACCTTCGAAAGGACGCGTCGTCTCTCCTTGAATTCGGAATGCCATAAATTATACTAACGTTTGTATACTGAGTCGAATGCATGGGAAACATGATTAACCAATGAAAATCAAACAATACAAAAATAAAAAAAAATATTTATTTCTTTTTCTTCTTCTCCATATCTCATTCTCTTATGAAGATGTAATAAAACTAAATCATGTTAAATTGATAAACGTTTCCTATTTGTTCTTTATCTTATTCTGTCAGATTCAGATCCATATTTGATCAATGTTTGCCCCAAATCAATCTATCTATCTATCTATCTATCTATCTATCTATCTATCTATCTATCTATCTATATATCTATCTATCTCACTCTGTTCTTATCTATTTCTCTATCTATCTTAGTAAGTTTTTATCTAAGTCTATCTATCTATCTATCTATCTATCTATCTATCTATCTATCTCGGTGTTCATATCTATCTATCTATCTATCTATCTATCTATCTATCTATCTATCTATCTATCTCTGTTCCTATTTATCTCTCTATCCATCTATATGAGTAATTTTGCATCTATCTATCTATCTATCTATCTATCTATCTATCTATCTCAGTCTGTTCTTATCTATCTCTCTATCCATCTATCTTAGTAAGTTTTTATCTAAATCTATCTATCTATCTATCTATCTATCTATCTATCTATCTATCTATCTAAAACCAGTATATAACGTAAAAAACTGCTTCTCATTTGAAAAAAAAAACTTTATTCATGTATTTATAGTTACAACGAAGAAAATTATCGTATGTTGAATCCGCTTTTCATTAAAAGCGCTTTGATTCATTCATCGATGTTACTTTAAGGTCAATCGATTTGAAACCCTGACACAGGATAAGAACAATATCATCTCTCAGTCTCGAGCAGTTTGGCCAGTTGCGTGCAATCAATATTTGTGACGTAAAAACACTATAGAAGCTGCTTTTGTTCAGTTCTGATAGGTCACCATTGACTGATCAGGGTCGCAGTGGCCATGAATTTTTATAATCTGCACTTAGCCGAATAAAATGTATTTCACCTTGTTATGAAAAGAACGCCTGCATCAATTGAATTTGAGTTGGTTAATGAAGCGTTTTACAACCTGACAATATCACTAGTCCTTCTTCTGTATGCCGTGTCCTTTCAGAAGATGGCCGATTATGGCTCTCCACTCTTTTTGTAGTTCTTAGTAAGGTTTGTCCTTTCGGTATCCACGTTCTGTTATCCATTTACACAAGCTCGTACGTTTCCCTCTTAAGTTCAGGCTTACGGCAATAAAGCGTTGAAATATCGGTTCCCGAACGATCACCGAAGTTAAGCAATTCGAGCTTGGTTAGTACCTAGAAGAGTGACTGCTTGGAAATACCAGATGCTGTAAGCTTGGATGTGTGGCTGATGTAACTGATACTTGCTCGGAATTGTTAATCGGAGAGCCGAATTCCAGTTCCCGTTGGGTTCGTTATATTTAGGTATATTTACTTGGGAAAGCTATGAATCCACCTCTTCTCCCCCCAGCTATGGGTTAATTAGTAAGATTTATATCTCTAAATCATTATTATTTCCTCCACCCAAAATTTTTACAATCTAAAAATATTTTCTGGCTTTAAATAACCCGCAAATGGTTGATAAGCTGTAAAAATGAATGAATCAATCAATCAAAAAATCTCTTGTGTTCAAGATGTTCTGTGTGCATCAAAATTCTTCAAGACTTCTTTTCTTGTTATCTGTCCTAAAAATTCTAACTTCTTTCTGATTCTAAGTATAAGCGTCTTTTTTGTCTCCATTTTCTATAAAAGTTCCTCTTTACTCACATAATCGACCCATGGTATTCTCAGCATCATTCTTTTTCAGGGCGTTCACTGTTTGAGATTCTAACAGTTGTTACCATCCTGGGTCAGGGTGAATCTGGGAACAAATGCAATCAAGAGCTACCCAAAACCTACAATCTCCCGATCAGAGGTCTTGCTGCCAGATTCCGTTTATCGGCATACTAAGGACTATCCTTATAAAGAAACGGTTAATATTACCATTCCTAGGAAGTGGGCGCAAATTGTTACTGTTGGGATTTGAACACTAATAGCCGATTCCATGCTCCAAGGCGTTAACTGTTAGGTCACGTAGCTTAGTAATGGATGACAAATAAAATCCAGCGATCGTTGTTCTCATTCTCCTCACGTTGGTTTCTAAAACGCCTGCACAACCTGTCTGTCCAACATAAAACGAGAACTGCATAAGGAATGCAATTATCTATGCTTATATGCAAAAATAATACCTAAAGGTATTCATGCCTCTACGAGTGTGAGACTTGAACGCTTCTGATTGAGGTAGGAAAAGGATCCAGGCGTTCTCGAATAAATGCTCCTACTGGGAGCACGAAATCAATGACTATGTACGGAGCAAAGTCAAAAGTCCGACAAGAATTTCTCCTCGCCACTATTAACCGTACGAAGATAGTTTGGCCACGTCACACGGCATAACAACTTCTACAAGACCATCATGCAAGGTAGTGTTGAAGGCGGACGTAAGCTGGGACTTCAACGCAAAAGTTGGCCAGGCAACATCAAAGAGTGGACGGACATGAAAATGCCGGGACTCCTGGGAGCCACCGCCAACAGATTATCAGTTTCTTCTGCTCTTATATCCCGCCACTCGACGATTGAAGCAGTCAAGAAGTGGTTGATGGTAATGATTCATGCAGTTTAGTTACTTGTAAAATCCATGATAGCGAGTGTGTAATTATTTAAATACATAGCTGTATATCTGTGTGCGTATTTGAGAAAGAAAGAGTTTCTGTGTGTATGTGTATGTGTTTGTGTGTATGTGTGTGTGCATGGGAGAGAAAGAGATAGAGACAAAGTGAGTGTGAGAGAGAGAGAGAGAGAGAGAGAGAGAGAGAGAGAGAGGTTACAAATAAAAATATGAATACATCTACACCAATCTACATAGATGTTTTATTATATGTCCATAAAAAGAATATCTAATATATATTACATTTTACGTCGTATATGATGCATAGGACGTGCCCTAATGTTTTGGAAAAGTGTGCAGGCTGTGCAACGGCTAACGACTTGAAAGGAGAAATCAGCGCGGCGAGTTCAAATTCCAGCCGATTTCGATACGTTCACTTTCGTACGAATACGCTTCGGAATGGTTTGAATCCATATCTTCTCCCCACCCACAATAGCTATTAAATAGCATAGCAGACTAGGTTTTCTAGTCTTGAGTAGCAGCCAGTCTAGAAAGGCAACTCTATAAGGAATCAACACTGCATGGTGACTGTCAGTTTTGTGCCATAGTGCGACCCTCAGATTAAATCCCACTACTTCTTTAGATGTCTGTATGTATAAGTCTCTGGGGGATTAAGGAAATCGAATGAAGGAGGTGACTAAACATACTCAGTTCTTCCCCTTAATATATATATATATAAAGACAATATTCTTTTGAGGACCACAATAAAACCATAATTCCAGCTGAAGCTGCTTGAAAGGACAAATAAATTTCGAAATGGTAGGAATCAACATTCCATCAATAGGTATATAGACAAAAATGTCACGTTACTAGTATGCCACAATAGCTGAGAAAGAATATATTTAATTGAATAATTTGTTTTTTTAAGGTTTATCAACACTTTGTTATTTAAAACCGAAACATATTTTGGAATTCAAAACGAGCCTTAAGAGGGATGGTCTCTGTCAGGTTATCTTATTGCTATGGCTATGCAATACGTAATGAGTTATGACGTGATGCGACGATGTTGGAAAAATTAAATTGAAAGGAAACTTTGAAGAGCTTGTCCCGACCTTTACTGCAAAAGATACATAGATTCATACCAAGGCTAAACTCAAAATTTTGTCGGGTGCAGAGGTGATTTAAACGATATTTTTTTTCTTTTTTTGGGAGGCGGGAAAAGTGCGTCTTACATCTATTAAAATACAATGATATAAACTAATGCTTGAAAAAGAAAATGGACGTTGCATATTTTTTACCTGCTACTGGTCGTGATGATGTTGTATTGAAACGGAATTTGTTCATCTCGATTATTTGTTTCGAAATTGATTGGAGGAAACGATTCCGAAAAATCCTTGGAGAAAGTAGAAAACCCCAAAAGCGCCTCTTTTTCAGTCATCGGACTTTCCCGCGAGCCCGGTGCAAAATGGTTACTGACAGACGACAAATACTGTGCTAATTACTTTGCTGCAAATATTGTCATGTTTACACGCACACAAAATGCGTATAATTGCTGGTACTTGTGTGGAAAAGGCGTATGTTTATATGCTTGGAAATGTACACGCATACGTCTTTGTTAGTGTAAAACATTCATTTTATCAATTGCCGAAAGAAAAAATATTTCGATACATCGAAATTCGTTTTCTTCCCGGGATTTTCCCCCCGCTTACATGTAGACCTTGCACTTTCTCTTTCTTCTCCCTCCCTCTCTCCTTATCTATGATTACCTTTCTTCCTGCGATCTGCTTATTACAGTTTCTTTCTCTATGATTAGTTTATATCTTTCTCTACCACTCCCTATGTCATTTAATATTTCGTTTCCTTCCCCCCGCCCCGTTCACCTAATTTAATTCCACCCGCCGTTCGCGTTTTCTCAATCAATATGATGCCCGCACTAACACAGTTTTGACTGATCTCTTTCTTTTTCAGTGTCGCTATTTTTTTGTTTGTTCATTTTAGGTTTATCTTCCTCTTTCTCCCATCTTTTTCATCCTCCTTTCTTTGTTTCTCTTTTTCTTTTAGACCTATCTTCCCCTTAGTCTCAACACTTTCATCTCTCTGCTTTTCTTTCTTTCTTTCTTTCTTTCTTTCTTTCTTTCTTTCTTTTGCGTCTGTTTTCCTTTTACTCTCCTCGTGTCTTTCATCCTCTTTTCTCTCACATCTTTCTTTTTTCTTTCTTTCTTTCCCATCTTTCCTTGTCTTTCTTTCTTACTTTCTTTCTTTCTTTCTTTTAGGTCTTTTTCCCCTTTTCTTTCATGTCTTTAATCCTCTTTTTTCCCATCTCTTTCTTTCTTTCTTTCTTTTCTTTCTTTCTTTCTTTCTTTCTTTTAGGTCTGTTTTCCTTTTACTCTCATGTCTTTCTTTCTTTTTTCTTTCTTTCCCATTTTTCCTTTCCTTCTCTTTCTTTCTTTCTTTCTTTCTTTCTTTCTTTCTTTCTTTCTTTCTTTTAGGTTTGTTTTCCCTTTTATTTCATGTCTTTCATCCTCTTTTCTCCCATCTCTTTGTTTGTTTTTTTGTTTGTTTCTTTCTTTCTTTCTTTCTTTCTTTCTATTTGTCAAACGCTTTTCACCAACATAAATATAATTTCTCTTTGTCCATTTATTACCTTTTATCTTTTTCTACTCATTTTTTTTCTTTCTCCTCTTTTCTGTTTAGTGCTCTTTTTTTTCTTTTCTCTTTATTTCTCATCCCTACCATTATTTTCTCTTTTTATAATTTTGATTTTATCTTTATCCCTTCAGTCGAGCCACAAGAGATTTACTCTAGGATTACGAAAGGATTACCTTCACCAATCGATATCTCCTCTTTGTGAACATCAAGCCCCAGCCGTTAACCTCATCGTCCTCATTGACTTTTACTACAAGTTCTCTTCTCCTTTATTTGTTCTCTTACTGCTTGTTTCTTTTGACAATTTACTTCTTTTATGTGTCGTATCAGTCAAGGACGTGTGCGATCATGGCTCTCCACAACACCCTGTCTCTTGTATAACGTCTAATAAGAAAACGAGACTAAATCTTTCATATGTTAAATTCTTGTTTATTCACTTCTGAACTCGGCTGCGAGGGTGCGTCGTTACGGAAATCTCGAGCAAACGTTCGAATCTTCTTCTCGCGAAGATGTGAGACACCCTCTACTCACCCCTGAGTCTGGTGTTTTTGTATACCTTTCTGCAATTTGTAGAGGGGCCGTGGCTGTTATGTTGTTGATAGAAGTCAGACGTAGAAGAAACGCATGTAAGGTTCAGATACTCCTGCTCGCCGGGCCCAACTACATAAAAAGATTGGACTTTGATTAAGTCCAAAGAAGAAGGTAAAGAAAGCAAACAAAACACAAGACCGATAATATATGTATATACAAATATATATTAATAACAAGTTACAATACATGGAAACAGTACAAAGGACGAAGTGTGTGTGAATATTCTGTATGTGCGTGCGTGTGTGAATATTCTGTATGTGTGCGTGCGTGTGTGTGTATTGCTTAGCGTGTTTCCACGCTATTCCTTTGTTAGCGCCTACATTTCGAGGTTGATAGCTGAAATCCTGAAGGAAAAAAGAGATAGAGGCCAAGGGTCATGGCTATTTATAGCCAGGGAAGAGAGACCCCTGGTGAAAGGGTTAACGGAGTGAAGGAGGAGTTAACTCCGACAAATTCCATTGTCTTGTGTTTGTGCATATCTTGGGTTCAGCTGGATTGACTTCCTGTTTTATATCGGTGTATCTGCCGATCGGTAAAGCGACAGCTACTGACTTCCTTTGGGGCCCGATTCTGCACCTTCAGTGTTAACACTCTAATGCACCTAACTCTTCCGATGTGACACCGAGTACAAAGCTTAATTTGATATCTCTTAGGATGAACACAGTAAATATCAGGATCACCACAGATTAACTCCTCTTAGGACAAGGTTTCCTGATTTACATTAAATTCGTCTCAGACCTGTTATTTTCTGGTGTGAATCACATACTTCATTTGTTGATCTAAGCAGCTTTTGTCCCCGTTCTATCATCTGTTCGCCCAAACTCATAAGATAACTTACTCACTATTTCCTCTTACTATTCTTTAATACATTCTGTAACTGTTAAATTATCTGATGTAATGAATATGCATACACCTAGATTCCTCCTCATGATTGACTGGTGTCAGCCATAAATACAGACTGATGTGGAGGTACATGGACGCCTACTGAGTACGCCTATTGTCTTCGCCTATTGCCTACCACTACGACGAGGACCAGTCCATTACGGTTACATGCTAGATTGTCCTACCAGTTTACAGTAGTCAATAACCACTTTGCTACTTCGAACAAATATATCCCTTTCCGGAACATATCATTATCCAAGCTCTTTTTCGTTGTAACGTATCCAAGAAATATCGTTTCTTTCTGGTTTTTAACTATAAATGTCTTTTCTGTGCCCGTTTGCTTTAGAACTTCCTCGTTTCTCACATTTTCTATCATGCGCATCATCCATCTGTAGAACTGCATCTATGTCGTTTCGAGTCTCTTTTTCATCCATAAAGAAATTGTCCAGCATTCAATGTCATAAGAGAAGACAGATAAAGGGTCAGCACTATTTTCTTTGCATTTTAAAGAATATTTCCGTCTTAATACTTTACTTAGTTTCTGAAAGTCTTCTTTCACTATTTAGATGTGTCTTCGGATCTCTGTGTCATCGTCTGATAGATAATTACATTGCTGCACCTCTTGATTATGATGACTCCAATTCGAAGTTCACAACTTTGGCATACCCTCCACCTCCGATGACGATCATAAATTCTGTCTTCTTATAGTTAATTGTGAGTTCTTTCTTCTCACTTTGCTTTGCTACCTTAGCGTTTTTGTAGCTTTTCTTCTGAGTCCGCCATCAGCACAGTGTTGTCCGTGTATCTTATTTTAAGAATATAATTGTTGTGTAGTTATTTCGCAGTGGAGGCTTGTATTTGTACTAAGTCGGTCCTAAAATAGGTTCGACGTACAAAACGTTAGGAACTTGATATAGTAGGTATTACGCAGAATAATCTTGTTGTGGTCGCTGATAGTTTAGTATTCGACTAACTGTCGTCCGACATCAAACTGACTGACCGACGATATTCAGTCAAACCCCACCCACCCACGAGGGCGTCATGTGGCAAAAGGCCATGTTAACGTTGGATCTCCGGGCCCGTGGGCTCGGTCAAAAATATGCCCATTGAACCCCTATAAACGGGTTCAAGGTCGGTTTACCTCCCCGAAAGAGAATCCGCCCTTCGGCGTAGCCTCGTTCGGGTTCCTCCCCGTCCTAATGCAGAAAGTTCAACCGATCAGCCAGTCGACTGACTGACCGACAATATTTATTATTGTATATACAATAAATGCGGCACAAGGCAAAAAGGGGGGTTGGGGTAATAGACGGTCATCTCTTGTCTTAATATAAAACTTAGCTAGCCACAACCACTGACCCTATCATACAGAACAATATTCCTTTCACCAAAACAACACATCTATCCATACCTTTCTTACTACATACACCAAAATGCCTCTTTGACTCAATGAAAAACTAAATACTCCCCTTATGTACAAGTGTTGTCTGTGGGGGGGAGGGGCATAAAAACAACAATTTTTAAAAAGATCTCCAATGAATATATACAAAATGATAAAATATATTTACAAGAAACCAAACAAAAATAGTGTTAGTAATAAAAACCCCCACAAACTTTTGAAAGTGGCAGAAATATCAGTTAACCGGACGAAATCGATGCGGGACTTATGAAAATAAGGCCACACTCATTCTTCCCAAACATTCACACAGGCACACACTCATTCATACACAACAACAAATACGAAAACACACACACGAAACGAAAGGCGCCCCGCATCTACCAGAGAACTGACATCACTGACCACCTAATCGAGGGAGGAGATGGGGAGTTAAACTAAAGGAAGAAAAATGGGGACAGAAATAAAAGAGACCAATGAGCAAAACACACCCTAGCTAAGTTTACTGAAAAGAAGAAAAACTAAAACTCAAAAAAACAGGACCTATACTAACCTATTTTCGGGATGGGTTGCCTATGTTGAACCCAGGAAAACAATATCCTAATGCCTAACCGGCATCCAAATGCCACTCAAGGTCAGCCCCTTTTACTCAGCACATACGCGCAAGATTCACCGACCTTTTGCCCGACTGACTGACCGACTGCTTTTTGTTTCTCTTACTACTCCTACTTATTATAGATGGAAGAGTCTATTAACTATAGAATAGGCGTGTTCGCCATAATAATCTACGAGAATAAATCCTGATAGAACTTCTAGTTCTCTTAAGATCGTCTCGCTTTAAAGGTTAAATAAATCTAGGGAGAAAATGCACCCTTGTTGTATTTTTCTTTCTGTTTTTGTGTACCTGATTTACTGTTTTCCTATTCTCACGAAGAATTTGTAGGAGACACTGCTTGTGTTTTCGCCGAAGTATTGTTATTGTTATTATTATTATTAACCATTTCATTATAACGTCACTGAGACTCAAGGGGTTACTGAGAGTGAAAGAAACTGAGAAAACGTTGCTGAAGTGAGAGGAAAATAAAAGAACAGGATTCAAGGAGATAGAAGATGACGATTGTCAACGCATTTAAATTTTTGAAGGTCGTTGTTTACATGAAATCAAGAAGCCGGAAGTGAGTTCCACCGACAAGAAGTGCGAGAGAGAGAGAGAAAAAAACATTAGAATAAAACTGACATTTACTCTTAGCGATTTTAGTATGAAAATGATGAAAACTAAACTGCCAGTCAAGTACTGCACTTAAATTCTTGAAATCGATACCAACGATGAAAGAATAATTACCGTGAAAATATTTATAGAAGACGCAAAGGGACGCTACGTTGCGGCGGTAGGGAAGCGACTGAAGCCGGGATGCCAGGTCAGCACCGATAATGGTGCCGATTCTTCTCTGAATTTGGATTCGAAGACGATAATACTACTGAAGAAGAACAGATACTACACTTGCATCCCAATCCAGTTTTTGATCATGAAATTATCAATCTAAGTTCTAATTCCAGCTGAAGCTGCTTATCTTTAGAAAGTACAAATGAATTTCGAAATGGTAGGAATCAACATTCCATCAATAGGTATATAGACAAAAATGTCTCGTTACTAGTATGCCACAATAGCTGTGAAAGAATATATTTAATTAAGTAATTTGTTTTTTTTAAGGTTTATCAACACTTAGTTATTTAAAACCGAAACATATTTTGGAATTCAAAACGAGCCTTAAGAGGGATGGTCCCCGTCAGGTTATCTTACTGCTATGGCTATAAAATATGGATTATAATTTTTTTTCCAGATATAAGTCCCACTATTTAACCCATAGCTAGGGAAAGGATATAGATTCATGCCTTCCCCAAGGATATTTGCAAATAAGTGAATGTAAAGAACTCGACTGAAATTCGAACTCGGCTCTCCGAGGCCTCATTCCGAGCTGCTATCTATTACACCACCAGTATATTCGACAAAGTGAGCCTTTTTCAAATCCAATCTCCCATAACTGCGTTATCCTTCACCTAATGGGGAGAGCAAATAACTTTGTCCCCCGGTTTTAAACACTTCAAGGGGGCAGGCACAGCAATTTATCGAGGCTTAATTTTTCCAATTTAAAAAATAGTGGATATGCCTAAGACTGTAAAGGTATTTTATTATGGTCGCTAAGAGACAAGAGATGTTCGTAGTAAAAACACAAAGTCGGGCGTAATAATTTCTTCTGTAATGGAATTAGACCAGCTGTATATTAAAACCACTAGAGGCTAATCTCTGATCAACAAAATGGCTATCTGAACGACAGATGTTAGTAAACGCACATATTTTCGTGATACATTACTATAAAGTTTGCTTTGTCTAGTAAATATATTTCTTTAATCAGTCGTTCCCATCATAAACAATTTAATTTACACGATTTGCCGTCTGAACATCGCTTAAATCAGTTTCGTCTTGAACTCATTAAAATCAGCATTTTCGTCTACTTTAAAGCTTGCAATGTGAATCGCACGTGTTGCAGATTACATGTGGTACACCACATGAAGCAAATGAGTGCAAGTAGCTAGCTGTTAATAAGCTAGCGGTTCATGTAGCCGAGATATCACAGGTAGGTTTCCTTAAACAAAGTCGTCGAGACCTTCATTCAAACTATACGTTACATTTATAGTACTTTATAATAATGGAATATGTATAATTATGGTGAACATTTTTCAGTGCTGATTGATTGATTTATTCATTTTTTTACGGTTTATCAACCATTTGCAGTTAATTTAAAACCAGAAAATGTTTTTAGATTGTAAGAATATTGGGGATATAATAATGGTTTATTGTCACGTCTTATTAATTAATCCATAGCTGGAGGGTGAAGAGGTGGATTCATACCTTTTACAAAGATATTTGCACGTAAGTGAATATAAGAAACCCAACCGGAACTGGAATTCGATTCTCCGCAATATTTGTCTTTTTTCTATCTCTCCTAATCCTTGCTCTGACAGCCATTTAGAACCTGTTCCTCAGTCCATGGTATTCTCAGTATCGTTCTGTTAAACCACATTTCTGTTGAAACAAGTCTCTTCTTCATCTGTAAAAAGGTTGTTCAGCTTTCGCAGCTAAATAGTAGAACCGATATTGCATCAGAGTCTCTCTCTCTCTCTCTCTCTATATATATATATATATATATATATATATATATATATATATATATATATATATATGATATGTCCCGGAAAGGGATATATTTGTTCGAAGTAGCAAAGTGGCTTTGGACTACTGTAACCGAATAGAACAATCTAGCAAGTAGCCTTAATGAACTCGTCCTCGTCGTAGTGGTAGGCAATAGGCGAAGACAATAGGCGTCGTCCTTGTACCTCTACATCAGTCTGTATTTATGACTGACACCAGCCAATCATATTACTGTGAGGGGGAACCCAGGTGTATGCATATTCATTACATCACTATCTATCTATCTATCTATCTATCTATCTATCTATCTGACGTGTCATGATGTATGAGTTGTCTTTATATCAACCATGTGTCAAACAACGAAAAATGAGATGCTGTCCATATACGTTATATAAGTTATATTTGTAAAGTTATTTTATAGTTATGTACCCTTTACTTAAATTTGCCAAACATTAATCTATAGATAAATCTGTCAACACCATATAAAAACAAATAAATTAACCACCTGAAGAGACATTTTTTCTTTTTTCTTTTTTAAATCTGTCACCACCATATAAAAACACCCACCTCCGCGTTTTAAAAAAATTGTTTTTCTGCGATATTCTAAATTAAAAGTAATATTTGTTTTAATTGAACTTTAAATAAGTTAATCTTCCTCAAATAAAGTTTCAGAAAAATATATTTTATTTTTGAAAGATTTCTTAATGTTGACAAATGTTATTTGTCAATATGGACGATTTTAGCGATTAAAAAAAATAATTCCATTTAATTTAAATACAGTTTAAAATACAACAATGTATTTTACTTGCTGGAAATATTAAATTTAATCTATTAAATTGGAATTAAAAATAAAATAAAAACCTTCAAGAAAGATTTTTCATTTTTAAAATGCATTTATACAGGAAATGTGTCTATCCTTTTTGTAATAATGCCTTTGTTATAAACTCTGAAAAAGAAGACAATCTGGACTTAATATGATGCACTGATAGCGAGCTCAGTATCTTGGGACGATGGAGCATTGAGTCTCCACCCTTATCGATCGGATAGTGGCTTCATAATACATGTGGAAATATTCCAAATGTTATATCTAATCAGAGCCAATGTTTGAAAAATCACTTTCCTAATAAATAGTTCAGTGCATTAAAAACTATCTGCTCTGCTTTACATTTTCTTGAGCGTCATATTTTCATTAATTTCGATTTCTTTATAATCGTTTTCTTACTTGAAGTAAAGGTCTGTGTGTCTGAATGTAGGTCATCAATTCACCCAAGGAGAATAACAAAACAAGGGGAGACCACTCTTGATTATTCATAACACTGCCATTCATACACGTATTTTATTGTTTATTCTCCATTCAAACTTCGTAACCAAGCAGCGTTCAAAGGTTTTTCTTTTTTTTTTTTTTTTACTATTGTTCACCCAATGCAAGGCCCAAGAGCCACTCAAAGTATAGGATTACTAAATGAGATTGTTATAAGGACCTAAAGTTACATTCATTTTAGAGCTTTTTACCATATATTTGTCGAAAAAGAAAACCGTTTTTTTTGTTCCTCGAAGTATTCCGTATTCTTGTAAATGCCACTACATCTACTAAAGTATAAATTAATATGCACATATTTTATTTTACATGGGAGCTTCACAAACTGCATGTAATAACAAAAGTGTGCAGGTGTAGGCTTTAAGAAAGCTTTATTCAACTGCGAATACAAGGTTCGCGTATAGTGTCCTTTTATAGTCCCAGTAAACAGAAATAGCTCTCTCAAAGAGGAGAGTAACAAAACAATGGGAGACCACTCTTGGTTATTCATAACACTGCCATATATACACGTATTTTATTGTTTATTCCCCATTCAAACTTCGTAACCAAGCAGCATCCAAAGGTTTTATTTTACTATTGTTCATCCAATGCAAGGTCCAAGAGACACTCAAAGTAGAGGGTTACTAAATGAGATTGTTGTAAGGACGTAAAAGTAGGAGGAAAAGATTCATATTATGAGAATATGTACGATAGATATATTGACCCTAGACTTGAAGATTTTAATGTTCGGGGAAGCATCTTCTTGAGAGTCTGTTTCACAAAGTGACAGTTCCGGGGAAGAAACTGAAGAGTAGGACTTCCTCCTTACCAAAGGAATATGAAAGAAATAAGGATGTTGTTTACGTGTCATGGCGGGTCATAGCTCTGAAGTTCTGAACTGGTGGAACTAAGGAATGTAGCTCGTTTGAACATCTGTCATAGCGTTACTAGGCAGATTAATGAGAAGCTGGCAATGTTTTATCTGTAGGAAAGGAGACGCAGCGTGAACGCCGATTTTAGTATTCTTACTCAAATTTAAAGACCGACTCCCCACCACTAAAATACTCTGGCGACGGTCCTGAATTTACACTGACAAATTGCTGATTAAAAAGTCGACAACTTCAATTCATGTCGTAACTTGGTTCCGCCTATACTAAACATGGAGGTTTATTGCATTTTCAAATAAATTATAAAACATACAAAAAACAAAAAAGAAATTAAATTACTGTTTTTCGTAAATGAGGCTGCAGAAAAAAAAGCCAATATATAATTTCTTTAATCCCTACGGCGAATTTACACGAAGTTCTTTAAATATATTTTTTCTCACTACGTATGTTTCATTAAGTCGTGATCCGTGCATTGTTTCCTTTATTTCAATGTCTTAATTATCTCCCTTCAGAAAACAAAGAAAAACAAAATGTTGGCCTCGATTTCAAAATTAATCCTCAGACGTTGCCAAGGGTAATTCTATGGAAAAGGACAAATGAATTGCTCTTACCTAATGCATGTTGCATACGGCATTTCTCTTTATTTTTAAAGGGTACATGTACTGTTACAAGCTGATTATACTGTATGCAATAGTCTATTACAGTTTGTCCTAAATTTGACATAAAAGGGAAGCCCCTAAAGCACGCGCGCTTTTAGTACAATTTGGTAAACAAAAGAAATATTTTACTTAACGTACTGAAAACCGTCCTACGGCTGGAATTTTTAAATTCATCTTATTTGAAATTATGCAAAGCCACGAGCTATCCAAAGGTTTGACTCATGTCAACTGTTAGAAGGAATACATGCTCGTTAGCAAAAGAGATGGGAGTTACACATCAGGGATGTCAAAATCAGAGAGAGGAATTTAGCTATCTGAGTAGTGCAGCAATAGACGACGGAAAATATGACGTAGAAATTCGAAGCCGCGCACACATATACACACAAACATATATATATACAAGGGTCAACATCAAGCGTTTCATACTTGAACGCAATCTTCATTGTCTGTCCGCTTGCATACTTAAATACGCTCTATCCCTGATATTAAGCTCTTTAACCTATAAATATAGCATACTTTAAAATATACATTGATCATATATATATATATATATATATATATATATATATATATATATATATATATATGGTATAAGAATGAAAATAGAAAAACATTTTTTGTTGTTTTTTTTTTATTTTGCCATGATAAAATCGGAAGACGAAACGCGTCGGCAAAAACTAAAGATGTTTTTCCTATTTTCATTCTTATACCAATTTGTCTTGTCCGCAGAATTGTTCTATGAATTTTATATTATATATATATATATATATATATATATATATATATATATATATATATATATATATATATATATATATATATATATATATATAATTGTGTATCTGGGTAGTAATCGCTTTTTTATACAAGTTTCATTAAAAACGACTGAGTAGGTACTGCAATTAATTTTTTATTTAATTTTTATTGTGTTTGTATATTTTTTCTTTTCTGAACATAAAGTATGTAGGAATTATTCGAATGTTGTTCTGTATCTCCGAGCACTTTCGGCTATTCTTTTAGCCATTACCACACACACACACACACACACACACACACACACACACACACACACACACACACACACACACATATATATATATATATATATATATATATATATATATATATAATGACCGGCTACTCGTCCCCTAACACACTCGTTTGTTGCTAATGCTGCTAGACAATTCCCGTTGCAACAGCCTACTCGGGCACATATGCATTTGTCCAACATCCATAGAGTACACTTATGTTCTAATATGCAACTATACTGAAGTGATCTTAGTTACACCTTCTGGGTGAGAACGCATAATCTGGAGTGATCAGGTTTGAACTAGGCCAGTACTCTCAAACACGCGGTTACGATGACCTCTGACTTCGTGCTAGTACAACCAAGGCTCAGTGACTATTTAATATCTAATTTCCTATATGCTAGTGAATCGCCTCACAGATGAAGAAGAGACTCAAAGTGACAGAGATTGGATTCTAACGATAAATAGAAAGTAAAGAATACCTTGGATAGAACATGTGAGCAATGAGGAAGGAGAAGAATAGAAACGGCAACGTAATAAACTTACAATCAGAAAGAACCGGTGAAATTTTACGAACACATAATGAGGAAAGAGGGTTTAGAGAATTTATCACTCACAGGACATACTGAAGCAAGAGAAGTAGAGGCGAAACAGCAAGTAACCTACTTAAGGAATTTGTGAAAATGGATGGCAGAACAGAGAGAAAAGGGGATGGTAAAGGGTCAAACGTTGGTTGCAGCAAAAGATAGGAACTTGTGGAGAGTTGTGATCTCTCATCATTTGATTGAAACATGGAGCCTAAAAGAAAAAAAGGTCTCTATATTCATCAGTCAACTTACACGGTGTTTACTCGTTCCCCCACCAGAACGAGATGTGACACAAAGTCGTTTTAAAGTGGGGACCCGAGCGCGTACACTCGGGCAAGGGACAAAAATTTCCACAGCCCCCGCAACCGTCGGTTGCGCTGGCCTCGATGCGAGCACCGATCCCTCCCTCTGGTGCAATGGGAGGGTGCGGCCTCCAGCAGCTGTTCCCCAGGGCTGGCCACCTCTCAGTATAATTTTCTCAGTTGCCCCTCTGTCCTTTGACAGAGAAGCCCCTGAGCGCACTCTGCCCAAAGACAGAGCCGCAACTGAGAGACGATAAGCCTGCGTTACAATCCCTCCAAGTTTTCCGTGCCTCGCCGGACATTTCAAGCTGATATAATGGAATATGCATACACTTGAGTTCCCCCTCACTGGAATATGATTAGCTGGTGTCCGTCATAAATACAGACGGACGTGTAGGTACGACAGAGTTTAACTCTATGACAACGCCCATTGGGCTACGCCATTGGCTATCCTATTGGTCTACAGCTATTACCTGCGACTACGACGAGTACCAATCGATCACTATTACCGTGTATTACGTGGTTACAGTAGCCAAAACCCCATAGCTACTTCGATCAAATAT